TACAGATTGATTTCATAATGGTCCAGCTGTATCTGCCTTTAGTAAACGTGAGTATGTTTGTGTGTTTCAGGGATGATGTAACATGCCAACTATGAGGCTCTTATACTAATAGATGATATGGTATACTGAAAAAAGGTACAAAAGCTGTCACTGGGGCAGTCCTTTTAAAAAAGGTATACCTTTGTACCTTAATTACCACTAAAGAGTTCATTTTAATACCTTAAAATAACATATTAGTACCTTAAGTGTACATAGTAGTGCCTAAATTGTACATTTTAGTACATTTTAAAAAGGTACCACCCCAGTGACAACTTTTGTGCCTTTTTTTCTGAAAGTGTAGAGCATTGTAACTTGGATGAACATGTACAATGTTCTATGTCTAAAGCAGCTCATATCTTGTATTTTGTAGGCATGTGTGTCTATGCGTTTCTGCAGGAATACAAATAAAATCGAAATATTGAGCTGAGGTTTGCGCTGCTTTATCTCAAGCGCTGTCCCATCCGTAAGGCTGATGTCTGAGATGCAGCTGTATGTTTTGGAACGCAGTCATTGTTGTGTATTTGATTTGAGAAGGAGAGCCAAAGCCTCAGCGCGTCTGTCAGATTGCAGACCTGAGCTTGTGCCGCCTCCACTTGTACAGTTTTAAACAGAGCAGAATACACATCCATCTCCATGGCGACTGTGAGAGATAAGCCCCATTAATTACTGTTTAGCTCCTTCCTTCTCTAAATGCATCATTCTCTCTTTCTCCCCTCCTTCTCTCTTTCTCGCACTCTCTTTTTCGTTCCTGTGTTCTCCTTGTTTCTTTCCATACTACACCACTTTAAAAGTGGTAAAAATACAATTCAGGGACTACTTCTACCTGATCTGACCCTTAAAATGACTTTTTTAAGTCAAGTACAGTCCTATATGATATTATTTTATTTTATATATATATATTGCTTCAAATAAAACACGTCTATTTAGACATTATGCCATGAAGCACACTTTTAAGTTACTTAACAACTTATATAACAACTCATATTGTTCATTGTAGTTGCAAAAAATGCAAAGGTGCTATAATCCTATAATATAATAATTTTTTTCTTAAAACCAGTTTATTTAGATCTTATGCTGCAAAGCAAACTTTTAAGTTATAGAACAACTTATAATTCTTTGACAACTAATATAGCAAAAAATACATTACATTACTTTTTTATTTTATTTTTTATTTTTTTGCAGTGAAGTGATGACTTGTAATATATGACGCTTTTTAATTTATTTTTATTTTTATTTTAAACATTAGAATAAGTATCTAACTTACAGGCAAAATACAACATTTAGCCTAATGTTAAGATTACAGGATGAATGAAAGAAATGGTCACCAGGATCTGTTTCACAATTGCCTAATACATGTTAAAGATGAAAAGCTATACTTTCTTATGCACTTGTTGATTTATACCCACAGTAAATATGTTCCAGGTACTATATTCCCACACAGCTGTTATATTCACATTTGGAAAATACAACAATATCTCCCATTCTTCTGCAGAATCCATCAGCTGAAAGGAGTATCAGAAGCATAGGAAGTGTGCCGCAGTGAATGATTTAATAGTCTAACATGCACTATATAAGCTCACTGTGTCTAAGGCTTGGATTGAGTGACGCACATAAGCTTTCACACAGGGAAAGGGGTGGCAGCATTTCATGTGTTCTGTCATCCACTCTCACTCCAATTAATTCCATTGTATTTCCTTCTCTTTTGTTGTCTTTTTTTGCCCCATAAAATGGGTTGTCATGGCAATGTCGAGCGCAGTTACCATGGAGAGCTGCTCATCTGCCTCTTCAGCCGGGTCGCAGAAGCGGTCAGTTAGAAAAAAAGAAAAAAAAAGCAGAAAGGGAAAATGCATAAGTGGCCAGTTGGTTTCTGGCTGGGCCTGACTGAGCATTTGGGTTCCCTGGTAACAAATGTTTGCTATTGAGAGTAACAGCTGTGACAGACATTCTGTTCTGAGGGCTTGTGACCCATAGAAATGTTCAATCTCCACATAAAACACAATGTTACTAGTGTAGACATTTAATATCATGCTGTAAAAGGTAAAAATTAGCCTGTTTTTACTTGCCCTCTAGGAAAAGTAAAATAATGTAGTAAATTATATTTATGAATGTGTTTTTAAAAAAAGAAAATGACCAAATCACCTTTAAGGATGAGGCGGCTGTTCTAAATATCAGTCAATAACATTAGAAAATAGGAAAAACAAAAGCTTATGACCCTGGAAAGGCCACATTGTTTCATCTTGAATCCATTATGTACCTAATATCTCCAATGCACTCTCACAGACTGATATACGCTCACCCACTTTGTTTTACCCCCAGCTCTGGTGATAAAAGAGGTGCCATGATGGAGTTGTCATGGTTACGGTGCTCTCGGGTGTCTCTTCCCCCCTTCCCGTTCATCATCTTCTCAACACTGGAAACGGCGAGACAGGTTTTGGGTCATTATCCCTAAGATTCATGCTGTCTATGGACAGGTCCCGCTATTTCTTCCAACAGTCCATTCGTCTTCGCTCCCTTTCCTTTCTTAGCCGAGAAGTCTTTTCATTTTTGGAGACTGAGAGGTCTCTCTGATTGTCTCTCTAATTTAAGCTTCAGGATTTTTTTTGTGTAGGGGAGACTGAAAAATGTGTTTGATTGTATTTACTTCTAATGTACTAGGATGTGTTACTGAGCTTTAACATTTCAATTAAAGGAATAGTTCACTCTAGTTCCATAACATTGCATCACTTGCTCAATAAAGGATCCTCAGTAGTAAATGGGTGCCGTCAGAATGAGAGTCCAAACAGCTGAAAAAACATCTCAATAATACACAAGTAATTCACAAGACTCAAGTCCATCAGCTAACATCTTTAAACCACTGTTTCTGGCTAAACATTCTTTAATACAAGTCTTTCTATCCATAATATTGCTTTCTCCAGTGGAAAAAGTCATCTTACCTAAATCAGGGGAGAAATATGCAGAGATCATACACTGTTTACAAGTAAAAACTGTTCAAAACTGTTTTAAACAGATGCTGTCAATTTTAATGTGAGAGGGCAACAAGGGATGGACTTTTTCACTGGAGAAAGTGTTGCTATAGATTATAGACTAATTCGTATACCTTATATAGATTATAGATTTTGCCCAGAAGCCATGATTTAAAGGGGTCATGAACTGAGAAATCAAAATTCCCTTGATGCTTTGACATGTAAGATGTCATTGTGCTATAAACATTCTGTAAGTTTCAGAACTCAAAACTTTCTAGTTAGTCTAAAAACAGCTTTTATTGAAGCCAATCTGCCAAAACAACAGGTTGAGGAATGTGCCACTTTATGACGTAATAATGTGGATAAACACTGCCTCCGCAGAAGAAGATCAACACCTGATTCTACAGCACTGCCTGTTTAACCCCATACACAACATGCTGACGACTCATTCTGACGGCACCCATTCACTTCAGAGGATCCATTTGTTAAGAAAGTGATGCAATGGTAAATTTCTCCAAATCTGTTCTGGTGAAGAAACAAACTAATCTACATCTTTGATGTCCTGAGGGTGAATCAATTTTCAGCAAATTTTCATTTTGGGTGCGCTATTCCTTTAATATAATGGAAATTGATGCTAAATCCAGTCCTATTACATAAATGTTTCCAAGTATTGTTCAAAATGTGAACATATGGGAAGAATTAGAAATCTTTCCTTGAAAACACACTGTTCTTGAATGTTTCCTGTACACCTTTGTGTATCTTTCCTGTCAGATTCCTGTTTGAGGCCCAGCGGACCCATGTGATCAACCTTTGGCTTGACAGAGCCATGATATCCAAGTTTAGCATGATGCTATCAGACATGTTCACATTTTCTATTATGAGACACAAGACAAGCAAACAAATGTTTACATATCATAATCAACAGTCAACAACAAAAAAACAAAAACAATAATAAACCACCAAAATGCTGTTGATCCAGTCAGATTAAATCTGTCAATACTACATTAATAATGCATCATGACATAGTAGCACTTCATTTTCTGCAAAGATAACTTTCTGAGAAGATGATACGAAACAGGAAAGTGCTATTACTGTTTAGTCTTTTTCCTTCCGGCGGGCCTTTAGTCCTGTTCTATGTACTTTAACATTTTAGAAATGAAAAGGTCAGATTGAATCTTTGCTAACAGGGACTTTCAAGCTAGTTTTATTTATTTATTTATTTACATATTGAACCCAGTATCCAAGGAAACCAAATACCTGCAGCAGGCATTAACTTTCTATCACAAATCAACAGTCAACAGAAATAACATTTCTAAAGTTTCATTCTGTGTTAACACTTTTTCTCAAGCATTAATCACAGTCAGCAGAATCAGGTATGAGGTTGTAGGACCATCTGATAACCAGTCGACTTGTTTCTTTGAATATGAAGATAAATGCTGTAAGAGGAATGGGCATTTATCTGTTGAAGAGTCAAAAGCTTCTGCATTTGAGAGGCTTTTATCACCATGAAGTAGACAGATATGAAGCCATTAGTATGGACACATTTGACATCCACCATCACTTACAAACGCTCAATCTAGATGGAGTTTTACTGGCAGTAAACCAATAGAAACAAAGAAGCCATTACTATGCATTTTAAATGTCCACTCTCACAAATGTATGGTCTCAAAGCATTAATATTAATCTTGCTTGCAGTAATGCACATATTAACCCCTCTATTTCTAGCCCTGTTCTGTGAGTGTGATGTAATGAGTTGCACTGGCTGGGTGAGATAAGATCACTTTTAAAAGTGATTCCAAGCATTCAGTTCCTTTATGATTTCTGTTAAAGAGGAGAGGAAAAAGCCACCTCACTTTAAAATCAATGTGAAAGTGGTTAAGACCTTGTTACTGTAATTATCCAATCAGTGGGCGCTTTAATCCACAGCCACAGGCACATAAGAGTGCTTGCAATGGCTGATAATGTGTGCTGTTAAAACTGACACACACACATGTAGGCTCACACACTTTCATACAGATGCCATACACATGCAGAAAATACATAAAGAAATTGTTGCGTTCATATGGAAATCTTTGTTTGACTGCAGAAAGTGCAAATGTAAATGTGAGCACTGCTGAGATCTTTTCAAACTTCCAATAAGACAAATGTGAGATTATGAGCATGAAAATCAGGATATAATGTTTGCATATACTATCCAATTCACCACACTGTTAACAGGTGAGATTTTTTTTATTTTCATTAGTGATTTTACATGCCAAACGTGATTGTAAATCTTATATAGTCTATACGTTAAGGCTTAAGGTTCTGCAAACAGCAAAAATTAAATCTATACTAAAATGTTTTTTCCCCCCCAGATGCATGTGAAATTAAGTTTATTTTTCTTACCTGCTTGACAAATTGATTTTGTTAAATACATTAAATAATTGGGCTACATTTACAGAGAAGCATGTGCATGAAAAAAAGGGTTAAGAAAGGGATCCCATAGATTGTCCTACCAGGGCTTTTTATTTTATTTTATTTATTTATTTATTTTTATAATTCATTATAAAATTAAATTCCACAAGAACGAGAGGTATTACATATTCACATGATCGAATTAACATTAGCTGAGAAAAAAGAAAAGGTAAGAAAAAGGAAGAAAATTACATAAATTTCAATGCTTTCAGAGCATTACATGTTTTCAGTGCTTTTTGTTTGTTTCAAGAGATTTGAGATGGTCCTCACCGCAGAACACAAGATCCAAGGGGCGTGGTTGGATCCAGATCCAACTCCTCCCACCTTACATATACCTAAACCTACCCGTCTCCACCCCCTGATCCCTAAACCAACCCATCTCCACCCCTAAACCTACCAATCTCCACCCTCTAGATGTGGATCCAACCACGCCCCCTGGATGGGAGATTTACATATAATTTAAAGTCATTTATAAAATGTGAAAAATTTGGTCTACATTGAGCCCACTTCTTCTTTTGTATAGTCCTATAGGGCTTACTGGGCATGCATCAATATTGCGTCATTTTTGTCATGCTGAACAACAATTAATTACTGTATTTGCATTATTGTAAGGGTATGTTTAGAGTTGGGGTAGATGTAGATGTTAAAAAACACAATCTGATAGGTAGCACATTTAATTTAATGTTATTTTATTGGAAACTATAAATAAACCAAAAATGCTAACGCGTGAACACGTTTTTTCGTGCGCTCATGAGACGTTTATTGTGCGTGCATGTTCAATTAAATCGTGCGCTTGCAAAGATTTTTATTTTTTATTTTTTTGTCAGCAAATGCCACTTTAGTTACTTGAAAGAAAGAAAACTATTTGCCACTGAGGTAAGACACATCTCTCAAGTCATATCACTTTTATTTTTATAGTGCTTTGTACAAGAGATTTTAAAGCAGCTTTACAGTACCGATGCAAGTTCTGCTATAAAGCAGCTGTAGCAAGTACATTATTCAGCCTCACTTGTTGGTTCAGTTTAGTTCAATAACTGTGAAGTTACATTATAAAACAAGTTCAGCATTTAGTAGTTGCAGCTCTGAAGAGAATATTGTCGTCATTCAGCTCAAGTTCAATGTTGATTCAGTTCAACAATAGAATTTTGCACAAGTTTTATCTATTTGATCTAATTTGATCATCTATAAAGCAGAAGGCATTATTCAGCTCAGTTCAATTCAAGTTTTGTTCTCATCTAGTGTCAGTGCCATCAAATCGACGGTATTACTGAATCTCTGAAAACGTTTTATGCGATTTTGCTTCTAAAGAATTTTGTTTTAATAGCCTATAGATATTTCAAGACGAACCATACAAGAAGACCTTCGGCATGAAAATGAGTAATTTACCTTACTTCAGCTCAGGTGTGTTTTTCTCCTTTGTCACAGTGAGTTCAGAAAAGCATGATATGTTTCTGGATTTCACCTTGCCCTTATTACTGTGGTTTTAAAACACGGGTTTAAAGGCTTCATGGCACACAGCAGACACTCATTCAGACCACCCTGTCAAGTGTAAACCTTAATCTATATGCCTTTAAACTCATGAGAGGTGTTGGATTGTGATGGCCCACGGTCTCATCATCACCTTTAATTAAATGCCTTAATGTAGTTTCATGAGCAGATGTGAGTCTGATGGCAAAGCAGCACCCTTGAGGTATGGCTGATTTTGGGTGTTTTATTCTCTTTAGTTGCATGTAGGCCAACTGTTAAATCATTTTGTGAGCTTTTTTGGGGTTGTTTCAAATATTCTTTTGAGCCATAACATTTATAGTGTGTAAAGAGTGTGGTGAGGAAGTTTTCTACTGTAGTAGAGAGGTTCATGATAAATTATGAATATCTGGATTAATATCATGTGTGATATTATCAAGCTATACCTTACAAGTAGTCCTTTTCTGCTTTTGTGCTGATTTCATTTCTGCTTTTCTGATGGAACTAAATTTTGCAGACTGCTCAGTGCAGTACAAGTATGAAAGATAAAAGATACCTAACAGGAATATACTAATACTGATACACTGCACAAAATTATAAATGCAACACTTTTGTTTTTGCCCCCATTTTTCATGAGCTGAACTCAAAGATCTAAGACTTTTTCTATGTACACAAAAGGCCTATTCCTCTCAAATATTGTCCACAAATCTGTGTAAATATAGCTGTGTCTCATTTAGAAGGCTGCACCCTCCGGAGGTCGAATCCTCTGGAGGTCGCATCCTCTGTAGGATGCATATACGAAGTGTCCTCAACCTAGAATTAAACGAGACGGCCTTCGTAGGATAGGCGGAAAAGGAAACCGGAAGTATCACGTTGCTATGCCAATACATTTAGAGCATAGTT